GCAAGTCATTGAGGCCCTCAGACCTCATTCTGTCTGACCTTGGGTTTGGCTTATTTGAGTGATCATTTGTCTGACAGGGTCAGTTCAGCTCATGTCGCTACAGCAACGTTGGCTTGAATGTAACAGTAGTCATATATCATATTTGGTCAGGTTCTCCAGAGGCCCACGTACTGCAAACAGGTCTTTGAACACCCAACACCCCCACTTTTCTTACGCAGGTTTCAGTGGGAAAGATTTCAATTGTCTTTTTAAAAATATAAAAGAGAAATGATCACTATCAAATAAAATACAAATAACTTTAATGCGAAAATAAAGATTAAAAGTAGGGATGCACTGAAATTTTGGCTGCCGAAAATTATCGGCCGAAAACAGCATTTTCGTTTTTTGTCCGAAACAGAAAAACAGCCGGAAAAAAAAACATGCTCACCGGAAAAGCAAAAAAAAAAAAAATCAGTTAAATTTGATTGTTGCATCGAACTGAATAAAAATAATAGATTGATATTAATATTCATATTTTTTCTCTCCAATTTTATTGTTTTATTTTCCATAAAAGTGTGACTATTTTACTAGCTTGTGTTTTTTTTATTCAGTATCATTAAATCATTAGAAGTTTGTTTATATAAAATATTATTCAAAATCATTAAAATAATAAATAATTATTAAAAGCATTTTCGGTTTAGTTTTCAGCAAAGTGCATCCTAGAATATTCGGTTTCGGCCCAGAATTTTTATTTCGGTGCATCCCTAATTAAAAGTAATGAAAAGTCATTAACAATTAATGGGTTAACATATTCATTTATTACCATTCAAAAGTTTATATATATTTTTAAATAATTGAATTATTTTATTCAGCATTAAATCAAAAGTGACAGGAAAGACTTTTACATTTATACAAAAATTAGTCCTTTGAACTTTCTGTTCAACAAATAACAATGAAAAGAAAAAAAATCATGGTTTCCACCAAAATATTAAACAGCATGTTTTTAACATTGATAAAATATACTGATAAGATATTTCAACCACAAGTTTAAAGTAAATACAGTTGATTTTAGATATGTTAAATCTGATTGTACTGAGCAAGTAATTACACATTATTTAAACATTCAAGTACCATGCTGTTAACAACCACCAAAAACATATTTTTCTAGTACTGGTCAGTATTATTCTTGTTGCAAGTAAGTGTTCTGACTCTGTTATGGAAGCGGGAGTGTTACTTAGTCAGAGGTCTTCACCCAGTGCTCATTACTGTGAAGGATAAGTGGACTCTGGCCACAAGCTCTTGTTTACACCTCTCTTCTGCCTGGCTATGGAGGAATTGAGAGCAGCCTTGTCACCTCCACTCTCCCACAATCCTGTGTGACTATAATCCGCAGGAGGCTCCTCCGCTGAGGGCAGAAATAGCAGTGGCCCCTTAGGTCCTGTGGTTATCACCTTACACCATGGGCCGGATGTTACCGGTCCTTTGCTATATATTGCTTAACATTAGTGCTCTGAAGTTTCCCAGAAGAACTAGGCCTCTCTGAATCAAATTTTTTGTTTTGTATATCAAGCATTTAATTCATTTTTATAACTGAGGTGTGTGTGTGTGTGTGTGCGCGCACGCAAACCGAGAGGAATTTGTGGCAACACATGTTTAAACTACTGAAAATGTAAGAAAATTCAGAGTGACCTATTTTGGGGTTTGGGGATCTTGTTGTTTTTATTTGAACTGTGAAGACTGTCAAGTCTTTATTAATAATAGACATTTCTTTTTATAATTCATTTGAATCTGGATTTTAGCTTCCATTATATTAATACTTTCCACTAAAACATGAGTGGTATCATTAGGTATCTAATGTAGGTGCCATTAAAAACTTTAATCCTGTGTGCATGTCCTCCCATGATCTCTGTGCATATGATATAGCAGGGATTACACAGCCTGTTTACACCCACCCTCCTTTAGCACAGCGACACCCATAAATGACAGATGTCTCGTATTTTCTCTTGTGTGACTGTTATCTGTTTATAACAGCATCACGACTGTACTGTACTCTACACTGACAAAAGACTGGGCTCAGAGCGTCTCGCAGAACTGAGGGCCACACACAAAATTCAGAAAACAGCTCTGGAAGTCGTCCAGGCAGCGTGACGCTCTGCCAAAGGAATACGTGCTTACAATATTACCAGTGTGAGATTGAGCCACTGGAGGAGGCATAACAGCATTAATGGATCATTGTTCTTCAGCTGTGGATGAAGAAAAGTCAATGAAACTCTCTATTCCAATAGAATGACAATATGCGAAGTGATCTTCTAGTACAAGTCATTGTTTGTTGAATTGAAAAATTTTCAGCTCTCAATATTATTATTATTTATTTTTTTATTTATATTTTTATTACCCTCTACATTGCGAGTAAATCACTCGCATATGCGACTAAATCTTCACTCTGGCGACTAAATGATGTCTAATATTAGCCAATTGCTAATAAATTCTCAGATTTTACTCGCCAGTGTGTGAGTTGGAGGCTAAGTATAAGTTTAGCTCAGATATATTTTCACTCGCCGAACACTCTCTGACTGAGCGCATCAGAGTTTCACTCTCCAAGCGATCTGTGCTGTTTTTCAGTTAATCTGAATGGATGTGCAACGCACAACGTACCGTAAACTCTAGTGTGAAGGCGCACGACTCGCCGTCGCTTTGTTTCACACACACGCAGCGAGACAGGGAGAGAGAGAATTGACGCGCTGCCTATGCGCACTACATGTAAACGATATTCTTTGTTGTATTTTGCTGTCAAAATAACGGAGTTCCTTTGGAATTCTTCAGCTTTTAAGAACTACCGCTTTCTCCGGTAGTGGGCGGAACTAATGCGCAAACGGCAATCTCATTGGCTGGCGCTCACCTATTATCATCCCTGTTTTGATTTCAGCAAATCAGTTCGAGAGAACGCACACAACCTGATTTATATGTGTGTGTGTGTGTGTGTGTGTATATGTGTGTATATATGTATATGTGTATGTATATATTTATCAGTCTGGCGAGTAAACAAAAAAATGTACTAGCCAATGGCGATTCAATTGCCAAGGTGTTCGTAGAGGGCTGTTTGTATTCTGTTCATTATGTTTTGATGCCTATTTTCACTTGCAGCCTCTAAAATGATAGATTTTAGTTATTATTGTTTTGTTTTTCATTTATTTTGACCAAATAATATTGAAATTCAGTAGCTTTTAGTACAAGACATTGTTTGTTGCAGTAAAAAAGTCAGCCCTCGGATATTTGACTGGCATATCAATATGTAAGTGTTTATTGCATAGATATTTCAATAATATTTTTACAATATTATTTATTATTTAAATGCTTAGCAAATCTCAAAATGAATTTTTCGTATTCTGTTCCCTGTTATAATTTCACTTGCATTTAAAATGATTGATTTTAGTAGTTAGTGTTTTATTGTAAATGTATTTTGACCAAATAGTATCACATTTCATCTGCAACTTATTGGTTATCTGCTATAACATGAAAATATTCAATGGATTATATGTGTTGGGCAGAATTTTAATATTGGTGCATCCCTAAATATTCAGGCTCAGGTGAGCGCACTTCATAATAATGATTTATTGTTGAAAAATAAGGAAATTTCCTGCACTGATCAGTATCACTTCCTGACATGACACATTGTGCTCGCTGATTACGTTTGTCTTTTCCAACATGCACACAAAACCCTCATTAAAACCTAGTTCCCAGTATGCTCTACCAGGCTGGACACTATTTTATCGTGTGTTCCTGGCTGTCACCGGGCTCTGTTTCTCAGGGATCTGTGGGAACATGGTGCTGAAGAATCTGATCGCAGGCCCGGCAGTTCTGCCCTGCTGCCAGCATTGTAGCTGAAACATTGGAGATCAGGGAAGGGCATGTGCCCTTGCTGTTTTCAACATTTCCCCCCAGTTAAATCCGTTTAGACTAAAGCGAGAGCAACACTTGCTACAGTGATTGCACAGTAATTGATTTGTTCACTGGCTGAGTGTTTGAACGCCTGTTATGCATCTTTAATAGGAGGGCAATCAGCACAAAACCTCCAGCCATCAAAACACAGAAAGAGAGAGCGAAGGAAATTATTTAGGTAACCCTCAGGCCCATTATAATGACAAACGAAGAACTCAAGCTGTAGTACAGGTACAACAAATACAGCGTAGAGGGCATTTTTGGTTTCACAGTGCAAAATACATTACTTTTGCCTTAACACACTGTACTCTAGACAAACACATGACCAATATTGAAATTCTGGCTGATACAGATAAGAGTATAATTATTTTTGTGCTATGGCTGATATTAAAAGATGTCTACTTTGTTTTAGCGAAATGATAAATTTTTTTAGAGACAATTTAAAAATAAGACAAATATTTTTCTCTAAATTAAAACTCAGTCAGTTTAGGCATCACAACATTATATTACAGTACGAAAAATGGATATTCATTTTGAGACATTTGGAGATTTTAACAGTGTTATAAAATTACAAAATAAATAAATAAATATGCTAATAAATTATTCGTTTTTTTTAAAGATAAAGTGAGCATTAGATGATTTCAGAGGAAAGTATACAGGGGAGAATAAAAAATGGAAATGAACATGCACAATTAAATATCCAAATATCTGCAGATACGGTATATATTCAGTATTAGTATTATTTATGCACTTTTATTAATTATTATTAATATAATGTTAATAATAATATTATTCATGCATGCGGACCTGCGGACCACTTATGGGCACCCCTGCCAATAAACAGTGTTGGGCAGTAACTAGTTACTAATAATGCATTACAGTAATAATACTACTTTCCCTGGTAACTAGTAGTGTAACTAATTACTGTTGACTGGTAGTAATAAGTAAAGTAATAATATTTGAAACGACTAATGTTAACTAGTAATGACTAAAATATTACATTTTTGGAGTAATGAGCCCAACACTGCCGATATATGATGTAACGTTCGTTACTTAGTGCCTTTTTGTCTTTTTCCTAATAGTACCCTATCAGCAAAGCTCATGCAGCAGTGAACGGAGCTCCGGACCAATCCACTGCTTTCGCTGCCGGGAGGTGTGCAAAGGAGAGGTGGTACGAGTGCAGCATGTCCACTTCCACATCAAATGCTTCACCTGCCAAGGTAAGAGTCTTTTGCCCATGTGCAATACATTCTAAACTCTGTGACCTCTCAGAACCATCTTTTAATTATGGGAAAAAACTTGCATAATGCCTTGGATTTGTGTCAGATATACAATTTCCAATAGATTCCGTTCAGTAATGGCACTTCATTAAGAGCTAAAGCAGAGCTCTCTGCCTCTGACCTAATAGCAGTTTGGCATGAGTGGTTAGAAGCAGTGGATTTCTGATTTAATGATGCTGGCTGTGCTCCTGGGGCTGTCTGAAGTAGGGACCTGTTGCGTAATGAGATCCTCTGGCCTCACATTGTCAAGATGGTAGCTCGTGATGCCCCATGGCACTGCCCTCAATTATGAGTGACATTATGAGTGACGTCAAGCAATTAAAATGTAAAATGAATGTGAATATGATGTGACCAGGTACCGTCACCTTTAGATTATGTTAGATTAAAAATGTGGAAGTAAAACCCTTGAGAGATGGGCTCATTTGCGGTTTAATGAAGGTTGCATTTGTGCTACTTTTCCCTGCTTACACTCAAACTGGTGTTGCCACATGGTCCCTGCATTGCATTTAAGGGGTTGCTGTGGAAACCGTGTGGAGGGGGCACCCTGTCCCTGGTTGGTGGTTATTCTCAGCTACACTATCAAACCGACAGCCAATAGCAGCCCCCCATAGCAAACCCTAGGGCATAGTTGGGGGGGATGAGGGGGGCTCATAGATGGAGAGACGAGGCGGCAGCGATTGAAAGAGAATGGCAGTTTCCCTCCCTCCATTATGACATCACGAGTTGCCTTGGAGCACATGAAGTTACTCAACAATAACAGTCCTTTTCCCCTTTGCTTTCTCTCTCTATCAAATTCGCCCACTCTCCGAGTGCTGCCCTTATCTTCCATAAAATTGCCTTGAGCAATAATGTATTTCACCTCTTACTCAACCCCACCCCTTATCTCACGATACGCACTGTATAATATTGTGTGTGTGTTAGCCATGCGCTATATGTGTAGGAAGTCCAAACGCTGCTTCGACAGCTCGTATTTCCAGCATCGTTGCTGTTTCATTGTTGCGCGGTGGTTTGTTTACAGTTCTGTGACTGACGGCTCGGCTTCTGTGCGTGCTGTGAGTTTTGTTTGGATGGGAGAACCGAGTGTGCTGATGAGCCGTGGGGCTTTGAGGCCCAGTTAATTGGATAAAGGGGCAACATTTGTGGGGTGTTTCACAGGAATCCCAGCTCACTCAGCATGTGCTGTCACAGGTCAGAGGGGCCATGTTGGAGTCGCAGTTGCCGGTGTTCGTAAACACGTGACAGTCTGCTATCAGCCCTTTTGTTGAAGCTAAAAACCAAACGTAGCTGATTTGTAATTTTGTATGATCCGTAATGTTATTGTTTGTTTACTGAGTTTGCATGTTATTCAATACAGGTTCAGTGGAAAAATGCGCCGGTTGTAACCGATTTCTGCAAAATATTGCTATTACGCTGGTTCTAGCTTGTTTCGCGACATTTTCAAAGTGAAATGTCTAGATGACATTATATTCTGCAGTTCTTCCCTGTTGTACCGAATATCTATACTTTTCAAATTATCATATCGAAGTTAGAAATTCAAATATTGTGACAAAATAAATTTTGTAGGGTGCCACAAGTTTGTTAAAATTTCCAAAGGGTGCCGCGACTAAAAAAAGGTTGGGAAATACTGCTCTAGAGTGTGCAGAGCTGAGTAGATTACTTACAAATTGTAGTCTGTTACTGATTACAGATTATATGATGAAAACTGTAGTTAGTAACGTAATGTAGGTTACTAATTGTAGGTAATGTATTCAGACTATTTTTTAGATTACTTTTATATTATGTTTTTTTTATCAAACTTGTTTACTTTTATATTGTTTTTTTATCAAACTTGTTTTAAACTTACCATTATCTCTTTCCCCGCCATTGATGAGATATCTCGTCAATTAAGAGACAACGCTTAAAACATCAAAAATGCTGGCGGTGGCTAGCAACTATATTAAAAAACGCTGGCGGAGAAAGAGTTAAACATACTATATTGATGTAAAAAAGCAGAGAAAAAGAAAATATGTTAATATATATTTTTTGATATCAACATCATAAAATGCAGTAAATATTACATTAGTGGGCTGACAGAGAGTTAATAGTGAGTTGATAAAAACCTACTAATTAATTAAATCATAAAAATGTAAAATAAAAACAGTATAAGCACATAAATATATATATATAAATTTTTTTTTTTGCATGTCAATGTGACCATTAACAGACATCAGAGAACTGTAAACATGTGAATGTGTTAAATTATTAGAAATATTAACTTCTTCAGAGATATTTCAAGTAAATATTTTATGTTAAGGGTGTTGGCTGACAGAAACATTTGGGAATATAATATAATATTATGAATAATTGTCATTGTGTGAATGATATGTAATCATGTAATCCATAAAACGTAACTGTGATCTGATTATAAGCATTTTAAAATATAATATACTCTTAAGTATTTATTTTTGGAATCTGATTACGTAATCCAGATTACATGTAATAAATTACTAGCCAGCACTAGTGTGTAACACTAAAAGCATGTTTAGTTTAATTCGAAACAGATAAAAGTGAATCTTACATTGTTTTATTACATTGGTCTTTGTATTGTGGCAGTTCGGAAAATTAAATGTCTGGTGAGTGGCTCTAAAAGGTTAATGCTCTATCGTGTTTGAAAACATACTGAACGACCTAGTTTACAAATCTTGCAATGTTAAAAGTTATTTGAAGTCATAAAATAGTATTGTCCACGAAACCACACAAAATAAGTCTTTATTAATCAATAATCAGCCTCTGTATTCACTTTGTTTGAGAAGTAAAAGTTGCTGGTGTTTTACTATCACTAGTTCTCATTGCATTATTTACAGGTAGTTTTTTGTTTGTTTGTTTTACAAAAAAGGTAAGTTTTTCCAATGAGCCTTGGTTTATTGATCTGAGTTGTGCTTTTATTTCAAAAGGCATGCAAGATGTATGCTTTGGCTGTTGGAATCCATGACTGACTTGGAAACCGGTGTAAAATCAATAGTTTGTAATAGAACTGTTTGGTTTGGGCTACAATCAAGTAGATTACATTGGTTGGCTTTACTTGACGACGTGCCTTTATAAACAGGAGGAGATCAAGAAAAGGATATGCCTTTGGAATTATAGTCTAGTTAATTGAAACAGCAAGCACTCGAGCACACAGGAAGAAACATGTGGGCCAAGGTCATGTAGATACAGCTGAAGCTGAGGCAGTGGAGACAATTTCAGGGGGAGTTTACACAGGCTTTGGCCATGAAAAGAGGTGGATGCTGTACACACAGGTATGAGAGAACCAGCTGTTTCCAAGGACACACTGATGGTTAGTTTGTGTAAAGGGGAGGCAGCCAGGGGTATTAGCAGTATTCACTTCCTGTGTATGCATGCACATGTCCACAGTCAAACATAAACGGTCATAAGCTCCATTCAAAAAAACCTAGTGAATTGCCTGCATAGACAGCATTTTAAGCTATTTTGGACATGCTATTGATGCCAAGACTGCTTTAAATATTATAATCATTTTGACCTAATATTAAGGCAGAATTGCATGTAGAGAAGGTAATCGGTGAAAAAATAATTCCAAGATGGTGGACAAAGTGGGATAAATGAAAGAAAAAAATACTGATAAAAATAAGTCAGTGTCATTCAATGGATATTTTTGCCCATTATTTCTATGTTTTGCATTTTCATACTAGAGTGCTGCACCATTAGCTTAGCAACATGCTAACTCTATTGGATTTGATTGTGTGTTGAGTCTCCCACGTGGAGTGCTGTTTGTGGTGAGTTGCTGCCTATATAGTGTTTTAAATTAGGTTTTGTTAGGATGCCACCTTAAAATGCCTATTCTGCCTGTGTAGACAGTGAGGTGGCTTTTGCAACAATTCTGGAGATTTATTCTTTTGCTTTATTTCATCCTATTGTGTACACACACCCTCTCAAACACACACATGCACATTCATGTGCACACACTTGTTCATGCAAGGGCACATTTTATTTGTTTCTGCACTACTATAGTGGGCATCTCGTTAGATGTGCAGGCACAGAAAACTCATTAAATCTCTATTTGGTTGTGCATTTATTTCCCCTATTCAAATAAAAGTCAGATTGGAGTCTAACAGCTCTCAGCAGGGAATGTAAGTCACACACCTTGTCCTGACCTCCTGACTCCGAGTCCTTACTAGCTTTCTAGTTGGCTCTTCTCTCTCTCTTACATGAATGCAAAGAGATAATGAACACAGCTGTGCAACTATTGATATAATAGAGACATACAGTGGCCCCGGAATGTATTTGGACAGCACTTATAAAAGTATTAATGTCATTGCATTACATAACATAATATCAAAATAAGTGATACTTATAAAAATGGGTAGCACTAGCACAGGTATACTTTTAAAGCAGTGACATTTAAATGCTCATCATTTGCTGTAAGTGTGTTGAAGTACTTGTAGATATGGTGTTGTTGTCAAATAATTTACTGTCAAATTTAGGCTAGCATTTTTCAAATGGCATGTATTGCTTCAGTAAAATTACTTGTACATTACTAAATTATCATCACCTTCATAACCTACATAACCTACATAGAAGGTTCATAAACCTTCATAAATCCATATATGCAGCAGACTGAGGGATTTAAATATATTTGCGGGGCTATAAATTAATTTGCATGGGTTTAAATGAATAATTTTCAGTTAGTGGCCACTTGCTATTTAAATCCATTAAAAACGGCTAATTAATTGAGTAGACAGCATGACAATTGCAAAGATAAATACTTTAAGAGAGAATATGTTTGAATAATTTTATCTTCTCTTAGAAACATTTTCTGGTCTTTCTTTAAGCAGATCTGCTGCTTTTTCACTAGAAGTGTGTGGCATTTGAGCTGAATGCTTGACAGTATGTCTGAGTGAAACGTCATGGAACAATAAATATCCAGACCAGCTCACCTACAC